TTTACTTCTTTTTTGTTTGTTTATTTTGTTTGTTTTATAATATTTAATTAAAAAATACATTAAACAAAGAGAAATTATAATTAAAAAGTAAAAAAACTATAATTAATATAGAATGAAAAATGAACTTTAAACTTATTATTAACAAGGCACAATGACTGGACACAAGGGTTTCTCATACAAATTAAAACTTGGTAAGAAAATTCACCAAAACAGAGGTGTCCCACAATGGTTCAGAATGAAAACTGGAAACACTATTAACTATAACTTCAAGAGAAGACATTGGAACAGAAGAAAGATGGGCATGTAAGCTTCAATTTTAAAATTGAGTACCTTGTTGAATTTTTGGGTTTTAATGTGGTTTGTTTATCAATACCACAAATTATTTCTTTCATTTCATTTGTTTAGGGTTGAAAAAAAAACAATTTTGAAAATAAAAATGTTATTAGTAGTAAAAAAGAAAACTTAAAAAAAATTTTAATAACTTTATTATTGGAAAGTCATTTAGCTATGATTTAAATGTATAACTTGGTTTAATTAAAGTATGGCAAACTCTTTGATATTGAAAATTAAAAAGCTGATAGCAAAAGTAGTTATTGGTGCAGTGTTAATGATTTTTAATACTGTACTTATAACAATTCACAAAATGTCAGTGAGTTTCCTTATTACTCAATTATTTATTAGACACGATGCATTTGTACCAAATGTAATTGTATTAACTTTTGCACCAATGATGTTACTATTTTATTCGTTTTATAAATATTTGTTCTATGAAGAAACTCCAAAACAGTCGTTTATTTTTTATTTACTAGAAGGAATTATTGAAGGGGGGTCACAGGGGATTGCATTAATAATTTTAGTTTTCTTTTATGAAAATACACAACAATATATTACTATGTTATATATTGAGTTAGTATCATTTGTACCATTTATTTGTTATTCAATGCCTAAGTTAAAGAGCTGTAAATTAAATGGAATTATATTATTGATATCATCAATATTTCCAATTGTAACTGCAGTTATAATTAGTATTCATTATAGGTTTTATTGGCAAATTATTACAGTCGATCTTTTGTTTGTTGCTCCTTATTGGAGGTCATACTTAACAGGGGTGTCTGGGGGTTATATAACACAAATAGAGAAACATCGTTATTTTACTTCATTTATTAGAGAGTTAACAAAAATTATTGGTTTAATAGTAGGTTGTTGTTTTGTGTATTACACTAATCAAATTAATCCAACTGAACGTTGGTTGATCAATCAAATTTATCTGCTTCCATTATATTGCAGTTTATTGATTCCTTTTATACTTCAAATTACTATTTCTTGGGGAATGAAGGCTGCTCTTCCAATTACAACAGCAACATTACCAATGATAATATCAATTATTATAGCTCTCTTACTCTATCTTTCAACATGTCATTGGTATTGGATACCTGAAATTTTTGAGGGGATGTGTATTTATTATGCAGGAGATACTGACTGGTGGTTTGTTGGATGTTTTATTGGAGTATTTGTTTCATGTTGCTTATTTTGTAAAAGACTTGTTGAACAAAAGAGGTATATAAATAAAACAAGAGATGTATGGAGTATTCCTGATGTTTGTTGTATTTCATTTTCGAATTCATTATTATTGAATAGAAGAACTGATGAAATTATTCAAAATGAAATGAGGGGAAGTGATGAGGATACATTTAAAACAAAAAGAATAGTTATATGCGCTACTATGTACCATGAAACAGAAGCTGAGATGACTCAACTAATAAAGTCATTCAAACGACTAGATAACATACCCTCATCTAAAGACCATATTGTATTTTGTATTATATTTGATGATTCATGTACGGTTGACAGACTAACATTATATTTCAATTTATTTGCTGAACAAATTATACGATTATTATATCAGGAACGAGTAAAAATGGAATATAAAGTTCAATGGTTTGGTGCAATTGCTTTAGGGGTTTTTAAGAATGGAACATCATTAACAATATTATTTAAAGACTCTCATTTAATAAAGAAAAATAAACGGTATAGTCAGTTGATGTTATTTAATTACGCAATCAAAACTTATGGGAAAGAAGATACATTTATTCTATTTACTGATGGAGATACGTATTTTTCTCCTTCTTCAGTAAGGAAATTATGTCTTGAAATATCATCTAACCCAAGATGTGGTGCAATTTCTGGGAGAATATATCCTGATGGAAAGGGGGTTTGGGCATCCTTTCAAAAGTTTGAATATGCGACAAGTCATTGGTTACAGAAACCAGCAGAGGAATTACTGGGGTCTGTTTTATGTTGTCCTGGTTGTTTTACTTTACTTCGTCTTGAAGCAATTTATGAAGACAATTTAAGAGATAAAAGAATATTTGACAAATATTCAGAACCACCTCAAAGTAGTATAGGTATTTTAACTCATAACTTTGGTGAAGATAGGTGGTTATCATATCTTCTTATTGAAAAAGGATGGGAATTAAAGTATTGTTCTATCACTAAATCGAAATCTTATTGTCCTACTACAACACAAGAATTCTTTAATCAAAGAAGAAGATGGTTGACTTCTACTTGGGCTAATCTTGTTATGATTATCAAAAATTGGATGAGAATTAAACGAAATAATAAAAAAATTTCAACTGGATTTATGATATATACCTTTCTCAATTTTATTTCATCTTTCACTACTCCTCCTACTACTTTATTGTTAATTTATGGACTTTTAGTCAATTTAGAGATTCCATATACTCAAGTTATTGCTTTAGCACTTTCTGTCTTTCCTGTATTAATATTTTTAATTATTGAAGTTGTTGTTCATTATCTACCTGCACCATCCTTTGAAATATGGTGTATTAATATTATTAGTGGTATCTATGGAATAGAGATGTTATTGGTTATTGTTAATTTAATTTATTCTTTGATAACTATTCAACAAATATCAATAAATTTGATCTTCTGTGGAGCCTTAGTTATTGTTTATGTAATTACAATTGTTCTTCATTGTGAATTTAATCGAATTGTCGGAGGAATAATAACAATTTTCCTTATACCAACAACAAATATATTATTAATAATATACTCTTTTATGCATATGTCTGATGTATCATGGGGGACAAGAGAACAACATTATGAAGGTACTTTACAAAAGATTGTTTATGCACAAAATTCAGACATTAATTATATTGATCAAATATCCATATTTACACCAGAGTCTTCTACTGAAAAACACAATAAAAAGATGAGAAGCAAATTGAAGAAAACTCAATTTATTACTATCCTTCTCTTCTTCTTCACAAGTTTGTGTTGGATTATTCTTTCTCTTTTGTTAATGTTTTTAGATTATCAATACCATTTAAAGATTATTGGAATTTCATTTTCTTTTATGATTGTACCAACATGTTTGACTATTCTTTTAGTTGGAGTACAGTTTATTTGTATGATGTTTCATAGAATAGATTCGTTGGCATTCATCCTTTCCCATTCAGAGTAATTAACTTTTTATAAAATGATTTTATTAATTTATTTTTATTATACTTTTAATAAATTGATAAAGAGATTAGATTATTGATTATTTAGGTATTAATGAATTGTTACCACTATGACCATGATTCATCAGACGACTGTTCTTCTTGCGACGATGAGTGTGAGTGTTGTGGAAGTCATGGACATCGTAATGATGTCCCTGAACCGAAAAGAGTGCCTAATTTATTCTATATTAAAAGAGGAAATGGAATAGAGAAAGGTAATGATGGAAGTAAGGTAATAATTAACTATACAATGAAATTTTCTGGGAATGTTATTGAAGAAAGAAATGGTTATGAAATGATTATTGGAGGAGATTATAACAGTATTATTTGTGAAGGAATTGAGTTGATGGCTGAACATATGCATGAGGGAGATATTTGTTCAATGGATTTACTTCCAGAACTAGCATTTGGTGATAAAGGAGATGAAAAACGCCACATTCCTCCTAATGCTCTTATTCAAATGAAAATCGAATTAGTTCATTTGGACAAATTCCCAACTCCATTTACTATGGATGGTGAACAACTTTATCCATATGCCTTAAAGAAAAAAGAAGAAGGAAATGTTTTTATGAAAGAATGTCATTATCAAAGATCTATAAGAGCTTACCAATGTGCCTTAGAGTTTCTTGAAGAAGACTATCGTATTCCTGCTGAAATTAGACAGCAAGCTTTTGAACTAAGACATGTCCTTCATAACAATTTATGTGCAGTTTATATTCATGAAAAGAAGTTTAAATATGTTGTTGTTCATGCAAGTATTGTTATTAAAGAAGATAGTTGTAATTGGAAAGCTTTAATGAGAAGAGGAACAGCTTATTTAAGTATGGATAAATTAGATAAAGCAAGAAAAGATTTAGAAACTGCCCAAGACTTTGAACCTGATTCAAAAGATATTGCTCTTCAATTAAAAATTTGTAGACAACGCCAAGCAGCAAATTTAAAACGAGAAAAAGGAGTTTATTCAAAAATGTTTTAAAGAATAATATTATTGTAGTTTATTTTTCTTATGAGTATAGTTTCAATAAAATAAAAGAACTTGGGTTTTGGGTTATGGTATCTCCAAATGAAAAAGGGATTATTGGTTAATAACCGATATGAAATTACTAATGAAAGAGTTGGAGATGGTGAGCACAGTGAAAATTATATTTCTATCGATTTGTTTGAAGGAAATAACGTTATACTCAAGAAGATTCAATCTAAAGAAGAGTGGTACAATTGGAATAATATTTGGAGAATAATGAAACAAAAACCAAATAACAAAGTTCTTCAATTGTTTGACTGCTTTCAATGGAATCATTGTTTTTTTGTAGTATCAGAAGAACTTTGTTATACTCTTAGAGAATTATTAGACTCTGATAGTGGTTATGTACAACATACAATCCCATCACTAATTCATTGCTTTCAATATACGCTAAGATATTTGGAAGAATTAAAAATCATTCACTGTGATATAAAACCAAGTAATATTATGATAAATAACAATGGGGTGTATAAATTAATTGATTATGGGAATGCTCTTATTGATTATCATTCTTCTGGTAAAGAATATGTACAATCAAGATGGTATCGAGCACCTGAAGTTATTTTAGGATGTCAATGGACAAATAAAATTGATACTTGGAGTGTTGGGTGTGTATTATTTGAATGTATTATTGGAGATGTATTATTTCCAGCAGATAATGATGTTGACCAACTAATGATGATGAGAGAAACCATTGGATTATTTCCACCATCTCTCCTATGTCAAGCAACTCAAAATGTTAATAATGTTTTTACTTCAGACGGTCATTTAATAGAAAAATATGAATCATTAATAGAAGAACGAAATATCAAAGAATTATTAGGAAGCTGTGAATATAATGAAGTGCTTTGTTTGGTTTTAGAATTAGAACCTGAAAATAGAATGACACCACTTGAATTTTCTTCAATAACAATAAAGTATATTGATCAATGATTTGTGTTATTTAATTTTTAGGATGAAAAATAGTAAAAAAATAACTAAAATAACTAAAATTTTTTAATAAAAATGAATAGTTGGGAAGATAGTGAATTGGAATATTCAAGAAACTTGATTAATAAACTTCATGTCCTTCTTAGTCGATTAGGAGATCTTCCACAGAAGTTTATTGATAATGTTAGAACAGTTCAAGATGATTTTCTTCAAGAATTTTCTTCAACAACCCAAGTGGTTGTAAATCTTTGTGCTAAAATTTTAATGACTGATGTAAGAAAATCACCAGCAAGAGATCCTCCATTAATACTAAAAGAAAAAGGTTCAGAAACTTATTCATCTGATTCAGAAACTATAAGAAAGAATAAAAGAAAAGAAAAAATTGCTGTTGAAAATGAACATGATGAAAAAGTAAACAAATATCAAAGAGAAATTAATGAATTAAAAAGTGCTCAAGAAAGTATGTGGATTGCTTTACAACTCACTAACAATAAATATACAGAATTACTTCATTCATTTGATAAAACTCAAATCCTTTTATCACAAAAAAATCAAATGTTGAATATGTGTAATTCTTTACTCAAAGACAATCAAATTTATCAAACTTATCTTACTTCATTTGATAATAAACAAAATCTTATTGCTAACGAAAATACTCCTTTTTGTGGATTACTTACTTCAAATGAAATTATTCAAATAAAAGAATGGACTCAATGTAAATCATTCAACCTTCTTTATCATGACGTTACTCTCCCCAAAGAACCACTTTATTCTCAAAATGGTGTTATCTCATTCATGAGAAATCAACATCAATCAGTATTTGGGTTCTTTACTAAAGCCTCAATTCAACCAACTACTCATTGGCAATTACTAAAAGATTGTGATTTTTGCTTTTCTTTACGTTCTTTATTCTCAAAAGAACCATTAATGTTATTATGTAAAAAAGATGGTAAAGTTAAACAGGTTTCTTCTTCAGAATATGTTCCTCCAACATTGATAGAAATGACTAGTTCATGTGCAAAAGAATTTATTTATCTTTCATTGAATTAAAGTTTTTTTATTTCTTTTAATTCAGGTTTTTCAATTTATTAATTGCAATAAAAATTTTGTTATTTCTTTGGAGCTTCATCTTAAAAATCATTACTATGTCATCAGCTGAAGAAAGTATCACACAAACTGCCATTGCTGCTCATGAATTTGTTCAATTATATTACGCATTATTCCAATCAAGAGTTGACGAATTATTAAAAATGTATCATCAACAAGCTGTTAGTAACTGGAATGGTAATTTTTTTAATGGAATTGAACAAATTAGAAATCATTTAATTTCATTAACTCCAGGAAAATATGACATTGAAACATATGACTCACAACCCATTGGTGATCTTGCACAAGGAGGAAGTCTTCTTTTCATTGTTACTGGTCGTGTTAAATATAATAACAACGAAAATAATTCCAGAGAATTTTATCATCAATTTATTCTCTCAAGATCACAAGAGAATGTTTGGTTTATTGTTTCAGAAAACTTCAGATTACTAAGATAACAAAATAAGTCATGAGACTAATCGAAATAAGGTATTATTAAAAGGAGTTTTTAAAATGATTAGTTTAGGTTTTATCTATCTTGTTTCTTGTCTTTTTTATTAAAAAATGAAAAATCTAAAAAAATCTGATCTTCAATCACTTTATCTTAATGAGTAGAACTGAAACCCCGAGTCTTGAAGATTCTATTGATATAATTAAACTGTTGCGTAATAAAAAAATAAAAGAACTAAACAAAGGAATTCAATTTAAAGAATTAGATAATGATAAGAAGATTGAACACATTAAAGAATTAATTCTTATAGCAACAGAAGACCCATCTATAGAAAAAAGAAAAAATAATAAAAAAGGAGCAAGAAGAAGTATTCAAGATGAGGAAGATACAGACATAGAGTCAGTAGTTCAATCAATTTCAACAGCTATGTATTTTGAAAATAGTCCACCTTGTTTGTTAATTTTGTGTTAATTATTTTTGAGTTTTTAAATTGAAAAGAACAAGTATTATTTAATATTTAATATTTAACAAATTATTAATCTATAAGATATTAAAAATGGACAATTGAAACCATTTCAAATTGATGCCTTAAATTGGTTAATTAGAAGACATCATCTTGGGGTAAATTCAATTCTTGCTGATGAGATGGGTCTAGGAAAGACATTAGAAAGTATTAGTTTATTAGGATATTTATATCATGTACAAGATTGTCATGGACCACATATTGTTATATCTCCAAAATCTACAATTGACAATTGGAAAAATGAAATTAATAAATGGTTGCCATCAATAAAAGTTGCTCTAATGGGAGGTACAAGAGAATCAAGAGAGGATTGTAGAAAAGAGAATTTTGATAAAGATAAACTAAAGGCTGATGTGATTATTTGTAGTTATCAAGTTATTTCAAAAGAGAAATCATTATTAAAGAAACAAAAATTTGTATATTTAATATTAGATGAAGCTCATAGTGCAAAAAATGAAAACACACGTTTTTATAATGACTTAAGTGAAATTAATGCAACACATAAACTGTTTCTTACAGGAACACCATTACAGAATACATTACATGAATTATGGTCATTATTACAATTTTTATTACCAGAAATATTTAATACAAAAGAATTAGATGAAATATTTGAATCAATTGAATCAGATAAATTTCAAGGATATATTGATTCTATTAGAGATTTTATTAAACCATTTATGTTGAGAAGGTTAAAAACAGATGTTCAAAAAGAATTACCACCAAAAATGGAAATTAAAATCTTTGTACAACTTACACCATTTCAAAAGATTTGGTACAGAAAAGTATTAATGGGTGATGTGACTGTTATTATTGGAGATAAAATTGTTAAATCAAAATTGAATAACACTATGACACAACTAAGAAAAGTTTGTGACCATCCATATCTTATGCCTGGAGCAGAGCCAGAGCCATATGTCAATGGAGAACACTTATGTCTATCTTCTGCTAAGATGATTGTAATGGAAAAGTTAGTTGAAAAACATTTAAAAAATAATGGAAAAATATTAATATTTTCACAAATGACAAGGATGTTAGATATTATTGATGATTATCTTGTGTTTAAAGATATTGAACATTATAGAATTGATGGACAAACACAACAAGAAGATCGTGTTGAACAAATTAAAGATTTTAATGACCCAAATGGTAAGGTTAGTATTTTTCTGTTATCAACAAGAAGTGGTGGGTTAGGTATTAATTTACAAAGTGCTGATACCGTTATATTATATGACTCTGATTGGAATCCACAATCTGATATTCAGGCAATGGACAGAGCTCATAGAATTGGTCAAACTAAGCCAGTTACTGTTTATCGTTTAATTTGTGAAGGAACTGCTGAACAACGATTGATTAGAGTTGCAGAAAGAAAATTAATGTTAAATAGACTTGTAATGCAAAGTGGAAAAACAGCAACAGAACCAGCAATTGGGAAAGAAGAATTGTTACAAATTATGCAACAAGAATTAACTGGGTGTTTAAAAGAAGAAAGTGATGATAAGAAAGTAAAAGAAAATAATAAAGATTTAAAGGATATTGATATTGAATCAATTATTCAAAGTGGAAAAGAAAAGACACAAGAACTAAAGAATGAAATTGAAAAAGAAACAGAGACAGCAAAAAAAGGAATGATGAATCTAACTAACTTTGCATTTGGAGTTGAAAAAGTTGATATAAGAGAATTCGAAGGAAGAGTGTTTGGGCAAAATGATAATTTAGAAGATTTAGAACGTTATAAAGAAAATATGAAATTGGTTCGTACTGAAACATTAAAACAACCTCCTGCTATTAAATTTAGAGACTTACAATTTCCAAGTAAAGAATTACTTCAACTTTTAGATAAAGAAAATGAAGAATACAAACGACTAAATGCAACATTCAAAGAAGATCTTACATTTGCTATATTAAAAGGAGATTCATTAGATCCAATACTACATCCAAAATACCTTAGTGATGAAGATAATCAAAGAAAAGAAAAATTATTAAAAGAAACCTTTTATGATTGGGACGATAATGACTTTAGAAAATGGAAAACAGCCATGAAGAAATATGGTTATGAAAGACTAGATGAAATTAGTACATATATGGGAAAAGATAAACAAGAAGTTCAAAGATACAATGATGTTTTTATTCAAAGATATAATGAGGTTAATGAAGGAGAAAAACTATACAATTCATTATTTAAAAGTGAACAGAAAAGAAAACTAAGAGAAAAAGAACAAGAAGACTTAGCACAAGCTATCAAAGCTAAGCCTGATGATATGACAGTATTAACTCCATACGTTTATTTTGGAAATTCTCAAACTGATCCATTAGTAGATTCAATGATGTTAAGAAAGTATGCAGAATATGGAGAAGACTGGGAAAGGATCTTAAAAGAAATCAAAGAACATCCATTATTTGTGTTTAATATTTATATTAACTCATATACCCCACAAACTGTTAAAGAGAAAATCAGATTTCTAATACATAATGTAGAAAAAACTAAAGAAAAAATGACAAAAGAAAATGATGGAAATACTATATTAGATAAAATAGAGATTAATGATAATTTTGAGAATAAAAAAATGAGAAAAGAAGATGATAATATTGATTGATAAATTAACTAAATTTATTTAAAAATCTTATGAATTTATATTTATTCGTAGAAACTGGATAATCAAGAAATATTTAGATTCCGGAATTAATTCTGTTTAAAAAACTTGAAACAAGATACAAAAGAGACAAAAAAAGTAGATTTCTTTACTTATCTTGTCATTTCATGACCTATTAAAATCTCAAAAATCTTATTAAAATCATTTATAATATGGCACGAGAGATATTTATTGAAAGATTTAATAAATTATCTAGAACTTCAACATATGAATCAATTACAAATGACATTAATGACTATTTTTTTTCAAAAAAATCAAATTTTATTGAACAACTTATTCCTGCAATTGTTAAAGAAAAATATGATGTTATTAAATACACAAGAATATGTCAATTTATAGACGCTTTTATTTTTAAATATAAAACATTTACAGTTGCCCATATAGCTGCCATTGTATTTATTTTACTTGATCCATCTAAAAACCTAAAAGTTAAGAGAAGTGATACTTCAAAGTATTTTACTAAAACATCAAAAGCAAACTTAAAAGAATTAAAGAGGCTAGAAAAAGAAACTGGTGTTGATAGTAATGGTTTATATAGTATTGATGAATTTATTTCATTATATGAAAATGTTAATGAAGTTCAATTAGACTCATCTACAGTTAAACAATGTATTTTAGATTGGTCATTTAAATCGTTGTTTGATCAATACGCTAAAGGAAAAAATTATATTAGTGATAGCGATGTACTTGAGGGATTAAAAAAACAATTTAAAATTAAAGAACATTTGAATGCTTTAAAAGTAGTGATTAGACTAATGGATACATCCCGTGTACATAAATTTAGACTGTATGAATTTAATGAGTTATGTCTTCAAATTGCTTTTGTAGAACAGAAAGTTGGAATTAATATTTTTTCATTAAATGTTATTTCATTTAGATTACTTGACAATGAACATAATGGATTTTTAACATTACAAAAGTATTCAAGGTTTCTTCAAAAATCTGGCTTTGATATTAAAAAAGATAATGTTAAAAAATCTATTAAAGAACTTGACAGCAATGGTGATGGTGTTCTTCAAATTGATGAATTTATTCATGTAAGTAATGGACTATGCACATCTAAAATACCAGCTTCTTTCCTTAATAATTTAAGAGCAAGAAATCAAACTGATTTAAAATATGACAGTGAACAACCTCAAAATATGAGAACCACAGTTCAAATATTAAGAAATGATAATACTAAAAAAGAAAAGAATCTTAATTTAATAAGAACAACAATTACAAGTGATGAATATTCTAAACTATTTGATGAGTTATGTCCAACTCATAAAATGAATATGGATAGTCTTAGAAGTGCTTTAATAACTGTTATTGGAGAAACAAACACACAGGCATTAAGAACTGCTCTACCAATTATATTTAATGTTGGAAACATTAACTGTGATGGATACTTAGATAAAGAAGAATTTATTATTTTAATGACTGCAATTGGAAAATGTATGAAAAATAAAGTAATTACTGAAAGAGACATGTACGAAGTATTTTTTCATTGTGTTGATGGAGATCATGATGGTTTAATTAATAGTCAAGAAGTCTCATTTTTGGTTCAACAAATAGATGGAGATACATTAACTGAAGAAGAAGCAAATGACTTAATTAGAACATATGATGAAACAGGAAAAAAAGAATTAAATTTGGAAGAATACTTATGTTATTTTATGAGATTGGATGAAATTAAATTAGATGATTCAGAAGAAATAAAACAAGAAAAAATGAAACGACAAATTGCTAAAACCTTTAGACTAATTGATAAGGATTATTCTAAGTCAATAGAATATGGTGAAGCATTAAATTATGTTATTAACACAGTTGGACAAATATCACAGACTAATAAAATTTGTCTTAGTACAATGTTTTATGTTTGTGACCTTGATGAAAATAATTCATTAGATCCTAACGAATTCTTTCAATTTTATTACTTATTTGAATATTATGTTGATGAAAATGGGGAATTTGATTATGTCTCTATTTATGTTGAACTCTTTGATATGCTTGACGTTAAAAATGAAAAAATATTACCACGATATGTTGTTGATAAATTATTAGAAAAAATTGGTCGTCCTGAGTCTATTTTAAATTTCATGATTAAGTATGACTTAAACAAAAAAGACTTCATTCAAATAAATGAATTTGTCTTAGCTTTCTGTGGTAAGTCTCTTGATGATGGTATTTAAGTAGGACTTTTTGTTTTAAACAAACACCAAAAGACAACAATGGAAAAAAATTAATTTATTGAACTTCAATCTCTTTACTTTTTTGACTTTCAACAGATGAACGGTATTCAAATACATACTCATTACTAATTGTTATAGGTTTACTTTGTAATTCTTTTGAATATAAAAAAAGAAAGTTATCTAAAGCAATTTTCTTTTGTGCCTTATATTCATTAAATATTTTATTTTCAATTTCAGCTGAGAAAAAATTATTAATTTTTAATTCATTTAAAAAATTGAAATAAACAAACTTCCTTGAATAAACTCTCTTTGGTATTTAATTGAATCAGCAGATTGCTTGAATGATTTTGGAGTGGGGTGGTATGAACTTTTTATTTGTTGCTTCTTTTGATATGGTGACTCATTTCTTGAAGAATGTTTTGTAGCTACTTTTCCTTTACTAACAGATTGAAACCCATCTTCATCTTCAGTTTCTTTAGGCTTTCTTTTAGATTTGGGTATATAGACATATGTTTTTGACATAAAATAATTATTACTGAGTTTTTAGTTAATTTTTTCTTTTTTATGATTTTAGACAAGATACTATTTAGAATGAAAAGAAACTAATATTTAAGACTTAATTTTTAACAAGAATTTTTGTAAAAAATGTTTTTCATATTATTCACATTTTTATTAACCTTATTTGTTCAAGGAAAAACAAAGGGATGTCCTTACGAAGACTCAATCCATTGCTCTAGAATTAAGGCTATATGCAATGAAAAGAAGGTGAGTGGTTGTGAAGAAGTTTACTTGTCTTGTTTAAAACAACATCGTTGCCATCAAAAAAATAACTCTATCTTGACTGGTGTTAAGAAACAAAAAAAAGTAACTGCAATGTACAAAATAATGTCTTAACTCATAACAACGATGAGCAAAAAGTAGTTGAATGCTCCAAACAAAAATTAATTAATCAGTCATATTTAGTGATCTCTTCTTCTTTCTCTTGAACTTCTTGGTGGAGACCTTACCTCTCTATAATCTCTAGAAGGAGAATAAGAGTTGTAACGATCTCTTGGTGAATCATACCTATGAGGAGACAACATTTGAGGTATTGGTTGTTCCATAGGTACAACTGGAACAGGAATTCCATATATTTTATTCAAATCCTCTACATACACATATGAGTTATCAAAATTTACAATGATATTAGGAGGAATCACTTCTGGAGAAATAATGCACTTGCCAATTCTTTCGTCATACTCATCCTTTTTCATCCAATACTCTTTTCCCCAACTAACAATAAAAGGGGGATGACTTCCTGTATCATATCTGAATAAGAAATGAAATACTGCCATAGCATCTTTTCTCGTGTATAATGTAATGAAGCAATGATGTTTTTGTGCAAATAAAACAATTTTTCTTGGAACACATATACTTTGGAATAATTTAGCAATACCCATTTCGTCTATTCCATCCGGTAAATTACCTACAAAAACTACATTACTATATAAATCAATTTTACCATGATCCATAGATAATGATGCACGTTGATCAACTCCCGGTTTTCGTTTTTCGAGAAGTTGTAATGGATGTGGTAAATTATGAAGTGGTTTTTCTTCACAATAATATCGTTGTGCTTCTACCTCATCAAAAACCCCATCATCATTATTTGTATCCTCTTTAGTTGAACTGTTTATCTGTTGAAATGGATCTGCTTGGTTGGCTGAAGAATATGATTGTGAATAATTCTTTGTGTTGTTTGTTGAATCTCCTGAATAAGGTGATGGTTCAGTTGGTGTTGTGACAGTGGCGTATGGGTTGTCGATGCCATACGGATTTGACATCGAATACGCACTTGCGTATGGGTCATTTACATCACCGAAATTAACGTCTTGAAACAAAGCGTTTTCATCAATGCGAGGTTTTTCCTTTTCCATATAGTTTAAAGAATTTTTAAGATTTATTTTCATTTTATTAGCTATTATAATTGTAGTTTTTTTATTAAAAATTATTTTTCAAAAAACCAAAAGGATGAAGTAAATAGGTAATTTATTGGAATTCAAAGAAAGCACTCACGAGATCACCTTTTGTCTTCTTAAGAGCTGCATATGCTTTTTCGTGTGTGGTGTTAGCTTGAGCCATAAGCACATTGACATCAGCTTCAACTGGAACATATCCATCATCTTCAACAGCTTCAGTAGTAGCTGGAGCACTACTTTCATTGACTTGTTCTTCTTTTTTCTCTTCAGTTGTATTTTGTTGTTCTTTCATGTTAGCTTGAAGTTGTTCAAGAATACGTTTAGTCTTTTCGTCCATATATTCATTTCTTGGTTCACCATATACTACATAATGTTCACTAGATGGAAGCTTATAAACAGCTGGTTGATTAATAACGAATTTACTTCCTGCTCTTTTAAGTGAAAATTCAACAACATTTGGTACTTCAACAAGTCCAACTTTTTCAAGAGCTTTTCTTGCTTTCTTCTCTCCTTTTGACATTACTCTTTCAGATGGTATAGCGTCTTGAACCTCATTTTCTTCTTTAACTTCTTCTTTAACTTCTTC